TAAACAAACAAACAAATAAATAAATAAATAAATAAATAAATAAATAAATAAATAAATAAATAAATAAATAAATAAATAAATAAATAAATAAATAAATAAATAAATAAATAAATAAATAAATAAAGTATCACGAGATGTCGTAATAAAATATAATTTTTATTATAATTTTATTCTAAAATGTCCCCCCAAAAGGCTTCGTAGTTTGTGTGGCTCGAGAGATGCTTGTTTACGACGGACCAGTTTACGACTTGATCATGACGACATGGTCAGGTACTGGGTCAGGGAGATCACTCGATCGGTCAGGGAGGCGTGAACGTAGTACGCCACCAACGGCTTGATTTAGCCATTCAGCAAAATGGCGACTGAGTATGAAAGTGTCATCTGTGTTAAAAACGACACGTTCGTCTTCAGAATTCCACCTCGTCCATCCAACAGAGGATACAGAGCGGCTGATTGGAAGTTAGATAATCCAGACTGGAAAGGAAGATTGCGAGTAATTGCCAAGGGAAATGACTGTATCATAAAACTTGAAGACAAAGCTTCAGGTGAACTGTTTGCCAAATGTCCTGTCGATTCATTTCCGGGGATTGCTGTTGAGTCTGTTTTAGATTCAAGCCGATATTTTGTTATTCGATTGTTGGATGACAATGGTCGTTCTGCGTTTATTGGTATGGGATTTGCAGATAGGTCAGATTCATTCGATTTTAACGTAGCTTTACAAGATCACTTCAAATGGGTTAAACAAAGCAAGAAGTTAGAACAAGAGGAAGCAGCTGCCAAGAATGACCCCACTCCAAAATTAGACCTAGGATTTAAAGAAGGACAAACAATAAAAATTAATATAGGAAACAAATCAACAGGATTGTCTCGACCAAAAGCAGCCAGTTCTGGTACAGCACCAGGTTTTCTACCTCCTCCGCCGGGGTCTAAAATACCTACGCTCACCCCTCCCCCTTTGGCATCGCAGCAGTTCAGTGGAACACCGTCACAAGGTAATACTGGTATTGGTTCATCCAGTTCAACACAATCGTCAACATTCAGTGATGACCTGCTGGGTGGTTTGACATCGGTTCCTACACAGCAACCACAGCATTCGACATCGGCACCTACCACGGATGATTGGGGCGATTTCACAAGTGCAAGAAGTAGCAGTTCTCAAGGAACTCAGCAGGCATCTGATGGTGGTAGAAGTGATGGTGGTGGCTGGGTTCAATTCTGAAGTTCCATGTGATCCCATGTAAGGCCAAAAAAAAGGGTTTTTGCTTCTCATCCCAGAAAAAAATAACGCAGTTTTGTTTTTTTATTTTCAGATTATTCAATATCATAACAAAAGGATATATGTTTAATGTTTAACATTTGTTAAATAATGCTCTCCAAAACAATTTTTTTAAAACATCCTGAAAACGAAAACAAACATTTTCTCTTTTTGGCGTATGTAACTGCTTGTACACAAAATTACGTACAAAAAAGTTTAAAACTGACATGTGATGACGAGAAGCAAAACTTTTTTTTGACCTAATTTAAAAAATAAAACCTGCAATACTTGTATGTGTGTGAACTGTCATAGTTTGATACATACACATGTACCAGTTTTTTTTTCAGTTTTTTTTTCCACATCAATTAAATCATTCTTTAAAGACAAATAATGCTTTTTTGCATTAATTAATACCTTCCCCTTTTCCAACTTTTTCTAACGTTATCGCAAAAAGATTTCCTCTTCTGGTTTGTCTTTGAGAATAGGGATTTCACTAGCATTACTAGATGAAGTGACAGTTGAAGGGCATTTAGCAAGTGCATGTTAGCTTTTAAGTTGAATATAAGAAATTATTAAGTGATGCAATCAAGTTCAAGTACAAGGACATGCTAGAAAAATGAATCAAAAATATTTATGTTATAGGTGTTTTTTTTGAGCTGCATGTTTTGACTATGTTCCAATGTATCTACTTGATTCATAGCTATAGAATATATGGCATGCATTAATAAAGATATTAGTGTGTACAGATCGTATTTCACAGCAGTTTTCACTTTTAGCTTTATTGAAATACATAAAAATCTTTCTCGAATTAAAAACGAAAACTATAGAAGTTATAGTACGGTATGAAAATAACAGAAAAAAAAAAGGAAATCCTATAAAATACATCCTATAAACTGAGGTGTTAAGTTGCTGTCTTATGTCATTATTGTCATGTACAAAGGGCACACTAATTTTTTTCGTTATTTTTGTTATCATTCGTCAAAAGGATTTGACATTTCACTTTCTTCATAAAGTAATTTTCTTTGGTCATTGTAAAATGAACAGATAATAAGCCCTATTTATCTAAGACTTGTTCATTAATGCAAGAATTGTAAGTTTTTTTTTTATTGCTTTTGTGGAGGGGGGGGGGGGGGTCTTTGAATATCGCCTTATTCCTACATCTACCGGTATGTTAGAATTAAGATTTCTCCATTGACAAAGTGATTAATTTTTGGTGAAATTAAGTACTGTAAAATATGTATCCCGTAAAAACCACATCCCTAATAGAAGCTGCACCCATTCTTTTGAAAAATTGAAAACCAAAAATTCTTCATTTCTTACACGCATAGATGCTCTAAAAGCAGCATCTTCATTGTTGTATTGTACCATTTCAATAGAAGCTGCAGCTTCTAATACAGATTTTACAGTGTAATTTTTTATAGTTTCAGCTGCTTTTCAAATTTTTTGTAGGTCCTAAGTTTAGTTTTATTAATGTATTTAATTTTTTGTTCCAGTGGTTGGTAAATTGAATTGTTCTTTTAAGTTGCTATGTAAATTTCTTTGTTCAGCAGTTGTGATTACTTTTGGGTATTCATTAATTAACTGTGTGTATCTATTTACTGTGTAGTACTTTATTTTAAATTGCTTCTTTTGCTATTAACGTTTTAGTTGGACTAGATACTGTAATTGCATCAATTATTCAGTGTTTTTGTTTTTTTGCTGATAAGTAAATCCTGCTAAATTAAATCATAGACTTCAGAATTCTTTGTTTCCATGGCAAATTCAGGAACTTAAAAACCCAGTGAATATGATCAATTTATCAAAATAATGAAATTAATTGTGTGTGAAAATAAATGGTTTTATGGTATATCATGTCAGTTTAAGAAAGAGACAAAACCTGAGTAGAGCCATCAGCATGACCCATGTGGCATATACCCTACTTTTAAGATCTTAACAATTGTATATTTTATTGTTCAGTGACATGTATAGGTATGGCAGATTGGATGTTATCCTCATTGTCAAGAATAGGCTTTGTTTTAGTGTAAGATACCATTTTGAATGAGTAGGCATTTGAGTAAGATAGTAGTACACCAGATATGAAACCAACTCTCTTGCACAACATAAACTCTAATCTAAAATAATCTCAATCACTAAATACTGTGAAACTTTTGTTAGAAATTTTCACGATTTGATGACATTTGTGATGAGGCAAGTTTGCAAAAATTGATGTTACTCTGACTTTGATTGTCACACTGTCTTCAGGATGCCCAGTGAAATTTTCATTGTTACTCAATTTCGCAATTTTAACATAAATTTGTCTCTCACATAATTAAAATGGTTTGTCATTCTGTGCATTATATTATTAATTTGTGTCCAGTGTTCTCCCCAGTAAAATAGCAACTACTATCCACTAATATGGTAAAATATGTCTCTATTGTGTTCATCATAATGAAGCTCTATTTGGTTATAGCTTTACTCTATAATGTTCTGTGGAGAACCCTGACACGTTGCAAAACACCCACTAGTAAAGTTACTAGTAAAGTTGATATAACGTTATTATTTCACTGTGAATGTTTCAGTTCAAGCAATATATATATATGTCTGTTATCTCACAGAAATTAAATAAATGTTGTACGTAATGCTTAATTTAGTAACAGGTAGTTTTGTCGAATATTATAAAATTATTCTCAAAATACTGGAATTTACATCCAAGCCTGAGAACAGTGAAGGTATTGTTTGAGATGCAAAGTGTCATGGACAAAACCATAGCGTAAAATGCGCAAGGATGTAAATTGCGGTATTATATGTATTTGTATCCCAGCCATTGATCTTCAGAGTTCTAATACTTTTGGAAGATATTTAAAACAAGATTGCACAAATACATTTCTTAGCAGTTTTAATATATTTTACGAGATGGTTACAACCTTTCTTATCGTCTGATAGAGTATGAGACGAACACTCAGAATTTGTGTCAGTGTCATGCATGGCGTTTGATAATGCAAACTTGGAATGCAATACTGAACGAGCCTGGTGGCAAACTATTTCTGAAAGTAAAAGCACTATTTTAGCTGACCTTTTCTTTTGCATCATAAAAAAATGGACAATAATACGGTCAATTTGATTAACATAAGATTCAAGTTTTGGCTTCTTGACAAAATGGGAGTCTTTGCGGTTAGTGTGTCTGTATGTGTGTGTGTGTGTGTGTGTATGTGTGTCCGTCAGTTCCACTGATATCTCATGAACCATACATCAGTTTTTGATAAAACTTGGTGCATAGATGCTCTGGGCTAATG